TTTTATTTTGACATGGCATGTCCTGAAATAAATATCAATTCAATATGGCAAATGGGTCATATTCTTTATTTGAAGTTGTAATTTCTGACATGGTGGTGATTGACTTCCTACACTGTAGCCTTTGATTATTTTTATGTATCTTTAAGACAGTAGTAACTACTTCTGCTTTCAATATTGGTATTTTAATTTAGCTTAGGGCTCTTACTATTGAGGCGCAGTGAAGTATGTTCATAGACCAGATTTTTTAAAATAAACACAATTTTGCTTCAAAAAATATAGAAATAAAACACAAAAGAACACAATTATTGATTTCATTTCCCATTCCTGCCAAGGTGGTAAAATTAGCATGTGCTTCTTACTTTCTCCCTAGAAGTATAAAGGGAAACATAGAATCCAGGAAAGTAAAACAACAACAAGAAGTGAGAAATCCTTGGGAAGTCAGGAGACTTTTTAGCTGTTAAAGATGAGGGAGAGAGGCTGCCACTTGCAAAACAGAGCCACTGGTGGAGGCAATAATAAGATGTACGAAGAAAAGTAGTAACCCCACCTTTGCCTTAGGAACTACTACCGTTCCACCAAATCCAGTTCGGCCCGCTGCCTATCTTTTAAATTAAGTTTTATTGGAACTCAGCCATACTTTCTCTTTACAAAGGCAGAGTTGAGTAGTGTGACAGACCTTATAGCCCAGTATTTATTATCTGGACCTTTATAAAACAAAGGATCCCTCCCTTAGTACAAACCTCAGCTGTACAAAACTTAATTATAGAAACTGAAGCCACAAGCCAGACTACTGGTGCAGAAAAGTCAGGGGTAATATTACCGCAGTATGAGGAGTAGATGAAATGACCTGCCTGCCTTTGGTCAGTATTCTCTACCTTTTCCCTGTTAAAATATCATTTAGTGGACTGTAATCTAGAGAGAATGTCTCCTGTAAGAACTGCTTGTTACTAAACTGGGTTTAAAGGCTTCTTTCTCAGCATCATGTTTTTAGTATTCATTCATGTTGTACCATGTATCAGAATTTCATTCCTCTTTGTGGCTGAATAATATTCCATTGTATGTATATACCACATTTTATTTACGCATTCATCTGTTGATAGACACTGATGTCATTTTTACCTTTTGGCTATTTTAAGTAATGCTGCTATGAACATTGATGTATGAGTGACTACGTGAGTTACTGTTTTCAATTCTGTTTTACTATAAATGTAGGAGTGGAATTGCTGGATTATATATGATAATTCTGTTTAACTTTTGAAGACATGCCAAACTGCTTTTCACAGCAGCTGCACCATTTTACATTACCACCAGCAGTGTATGAGGGTTCCAATTTCTGCACATCCTCATCAACACTTTATGTTCTGATATTTTAATAATAGCCATCTTAAGGCATGTGTAGTGGTATCTATCTCATTGTGTTTTGATTTTTGCATTTCTCTAATGACTGTTGATGTTGAACCTCTTGCTTACTGACCATTTGTATATCTTCTTTGGAGAAATGTCTATTCAAGTCCTTTACCCATTTTTAAGTTGGGTTGTTGAAATGTGGTTCTTTATATATTCTAGATATTATCCCTTAATAGACAGAAATATTACAAATATTTCCTCCCATTCTGTGTTTTTTCACTCTATTAACAATGTCCTTTAATTTACAAAAGTTTTCTTTTAATATGTTTTTATTGATTTTAGGGAGGAAATGAGAGCGAAACATCAATCGGCTGCCTCTTGCATGCCCCCCCAACTGGGGATCAAGCCCATAGGCCCCGACAGGGAATTGAACCAGTGACCTTTTGGTGCGTGAGACTACGCTCAACCAACTGAACCACTCTGGCCAGGGCTAATTTGCAATAGTTTTAAATTTTTATGAAGTCTATCTTTTTCTTTTTCTATGCTTTTGCTGTCATATCTAAGAAATCATTGCCAAAATCCAATGTAATGAGGATTTTCCCCTCTGTTTTATTCTAAGACTTTTATAATTTTAGCTCTTAAGTGTGAGGTCTTTGATCCATTTTGTAGTTAATTTTGTATCTGGTATAAGGTAAGGGTCCAACTTCATTATTTTGCATGTGGCTATTTAACTTTCCCAGCAACATTTGTTGAAAAGACTGTTCTTTCCCCACTGAATTGTCCTATTGGAAATCAGTTGAGTAGTGTATATGTGAGGGTTTATTTCTGGGTTGTCTAATATTTCATTCCATTGGTCTGTATATCTGTCTTTATGCCAGTACCACACTGTTTTGATTACTGTAGCTTTATACAGGCACATCTCATTTTATTGAGCATCTCGCAAATACTGCATTTTTACAAATTGGCGTTTTTTGGCAACCCTGCATGGAACAAGTCTATCAGCCCCATTTTTCCAACAGCATTTGCTCACTTTGTGTCTCTGTCATATTTTGGTAATTCTTTACAATATTTCAAATTTTTTTGTTATTTGTTATGATAATTTGTAATCAGTGATCTTTAATATTACTATTGTAATTGTTTGGAGACACCACAAACCATGCTCATACAAGATGGCGAGCTTAATCGATAAATGGTGTGTGTGTTCTGACTGCCCCACTGACTGGCTGTTCCCCCAAAGTCTAACCCACCCTCATCCTCTCTGCTGTTTTCTTGATTCACCCATAATTTTGCTTATACATATGGATAATTAATTCTCTTTGAATAGTATCCATTTTGTGAACGGAATGTCAGTGGAACCACCTATTCTAGAATTTGAGTTTTTCCAGTGCCTCTGTGACACTATTGTCTTTTTGGTGAACATATGTACACATTTCTGTTGGGTGTACCCTAGGAGTAGAATTAATGAGTTATCGGGTGTGCTTATGTTTGGCTCTACTGACCATTTTCCATACCAGTTTATACATGAGATTTCCAGTTCCACATCAGTACTTACCATTGTCTTTTTCACCCTTAGCCATTAAGGTGTGTGTGTGTAGTAGTATCACATTTTATTTTAAAACTTGGTAAAAACACTGTGCTGACCAAACAGATGTGTGAGCCAGATGTGGTCCATAGGGCACCTCCAGATTAGACTGTGTTGTCTGTGAGGGTTAATGTTGCTCTTCAAGTATGTATTCAAGAATAATTTTATAATTGCCGGGCAGCCGGAAGATTAAAACTCCATGCTGCGATACTATTAGTGGAGAGATTTTGAAGCAACCTGCGTTTGGAGCATCCATTTGCATCACTTGTACCTTGTTCAGTGAGGTGAGAGGAAAGAACCATAGTGTTATCGGGACCATAGCAAATGGAAGCCCTGAAGCTATAGGGCAGCAGTTCTCAACCTGTGGGTTTTGACCCCTTTGGGGGTCAAACGACCCTTTCACAGGGGTCGCCTAAGACATAACAGTAGCAAAATTACAGTTATGAAATAGCAATGAAAATAATTTTATGGTTGGGGGTCACCACAACATGAACTGTATTAAAGGGTTGTGGCATTAAGGTTGAGAACCACTGCTGTAGAGGCACAAAGAAAAGAGCCCTTAACCCAGCTGTGGGAGGTTCTTTATAACCTGGCCACATTCACCACCCCTTCTCACCATACAACTTGTGACATCAGGCTGTTTTCTGAACTTTATAGTGCTCCTAAGGCCAAAGTATTCTAAGACCTTTATTCATGCCATTTCTTCCATCTCTTCTGTATAGAAAGTTCCCACTCCCTTCTCTGCTTGGCAAACTTCTACCCATCCTAAATTTCTACCTCTCCCAAAGGTTTCTCCAGGTCTCTTAGCAGAGTTGGATACCTCCTCCTCAGAGGCACCATGTTCCTCTCTTATTAAATCATTATTGATGTATTTATGTCTCCTTCTAAATTTATGTCTCTGGGAATATGGCTAAGGTGGACACCTGATGTTTTTGCCACCCAGCTCACTTCTATTTATCTCAAGCCCTATTTTAGACTACCTTTCCCAGATCACCTGTAGCCTCGAAAGGCCCGATGCAAGATGGTTGTATGTCCTTCCCTGACCACGTGATCTCTAAGAACAACTCACTGCCTCAATTGTAGAAGGACTGGAATATACTGGGAAAGACCTCAACACCACAGAACTCTCAGAAGTAGGCTCACCCTTTAGCTCAGATGACAGAGACCCTGATTTACAGTCTCTCTTTCAAGCCCTCAGAAATAGCCAACTTCAACTTGCTACCTTATGGGTGGGGGAAAGCAAAGGTTAAGTGATTTGCCCTAAATTGCTTAGCTAACATACCAGGTCTACCTGTCCTCAGAATCTACACTTCTCACTACGCCAGAGAAGGCAGTAATAGGAGTTGAGTCATGGAGATGGCCTGGAGACAGGGCCCAGGAAGACAGACAAAACCAGAGCCAGGGCTAGAGACAATCACACCTTTATTAGTCTCTGCAGCAGGGCCTTTGGAGCACCTATCTACAGGGGAAATTTCTCATATGCTACTCTGGCTACTGGGCAGGGATATTAGCATTGGTGATTGGGACAGGATGGGGGAGAAGACTAGAAAGGACCAAAGGGGGAAACTGCTGGACCACCTGCAGGGAGGCACATATGGGGGGGCCTTCTGGACTGACACAAAGGTGGATCAGGCCCCAGAAGTGAACACTGCCATCTTCCTTAGTGAAGGAAACAGAGCCTAAGATGGTGACAGCCACAGTATGGGCACAGGGCCAAGCTTCTGGTGAGCAGAAATGCATTTCCTGATGGAGTTACCATCCTAGGGCTGAAGTTCCCAAACCTCTCATCTGCCCCCCCCCCCCAAAGCAAGAGGACCCCTGGTTCAGCTCAATTGTTACCCCAAGCATCCTGACATGGGAAACATGCTTTCTGAACACTGAAGGAAGAGGGGACTCAGTAAGCTGGTAGGGGAAGGTAGTGTTTTGGGTTTGGGTATGTTAACAAAACAGGCATTATATTCATTCATTATGAAACTTCCTCCAAAAAAAGGTCACATCTCCCCCTTACCCAGCAAGCATCTTAACCTGGAGGGGCATAATGGGACCCCTGCCCTGCCCCCCCCCCCCCCAGCCCAATTAAACGCTCCCTTTAATTTTTCATATGCCATGATGGTCATGGCTCTGCATTCTTGCCAACAACTTTACTTCTGGCCTACCTTCCTCACTCTGTCCTCATGCTGTAAAAGAACTGATAACTGCTTTGTCAAGTGTTTACTCCTGCTTGCCCCACCAAGCCTGGAGCCACCTGAGGAAGAACCTGACCCCTGTATCTCCAACACCTGGGAAATGTGAAACCACAAGAGTTGGGTTTTCTGTGTCTTGTGTTTGGGGAAGACTTATCCATATGTGTCTATACTGGATTTCTGGGGTGTCTGGCGGTAGATACAAGGATTTTGAGTTAATGTTTGTGCCTGGGATGATAGCTTCTTCCGATGCAAGGAGTGAAGGTGGGGAGTAGAGGGAGGAGTGGTGATCCAGCTTGGAATGGCAAAATGGAGAGGAAGAGGCAAAAGTTAGGCAGAGCTTGGGGTGGAGGGTGGGTCAAGGAATAAACTATGCGCTGATTTTCAGGGCTCAGAACCAACAGGGCGACCACATGAGTGAGCCCAGCGCTGCGCCGGTGGCGGCCCCCGCGAGCATGCCCATGGCCAGGGGGGCTCCCGAGCTGTAGCAGGGATCCTCCCGCACTACCACGTGCGTTACGCCGGGGCCTGTGGAGAAAGCCGGTGAGAATTTAGAGGAAGGAGCAGAGCTACCTTTGCTCCTCTTCAGCTTGACTCCGGCCCGACCCAAGATAAGTCCCTGGGCCCACTGTCCTGTTCCCCTGTTAGAGAAACTGAGGCCTTAATGCGGGAAGGAAGTGCACCCCATCCATCCCCACGACTTCCAGGCGTAGTATCTGCTACAGACGTTCCAGTACGGTGGGCTTAGGGTGCAAAGGCGAAGAAACCTCGGGATCGCTTAAGAATGTCCGGACCACACCTGGAGTGGAAGACGGCAGCCATTCCCGCATTAGCCACCAGGGGTCACTACCAGCTCAGGAACGGGTACAGAGCGGCCTGGAATGGGGAGGGGCTCTAGAGCTACTCCGAGTCTGGGGACTAGGAGGGCCTTGGGGAGGGTCCTGTCTGGGAATATCCGGGAATATCTGGGATTACTAAAAGAGTAGAGCCTGGATCGAGGCAGGGGACGGGGGCGGGCCAGAAATTTACCTGCGTAGGGCGGTCCGTAGTAGCTGCGAACATACGTGGCCTCGTGCGCGTTGGGGGACACCACCTCATAGTAGTCTTGGTAAGGGCTGTAGACCCGCACCTGGGAAGCCCTGCCACGTTAGTTGCTTGGGAACTTCCTCGCCCTGGTTTGGTTCCCTACCCACTACACCCAGATCAAGCCCCTCTGGACCCATAGAGCCACCTCCCCAAGTTTAGAAATGGGTACCCAGGGACCAGCAAGCTCCTGGAGAAAAGCCCTGCCTTTTCACAAGATCCATGGTTCTTGTCCTCTAAAACTCAGCCCCTATTATCTAGCTCCCAGTGATGCCATTTTCCTGTCCTGGCCTCCTACCTAGCACTCCCCTAATAAAAAATTCTCCAGGGCTTTCAACTTCCTTCATAGATAGTCTAATATTTGCTAGCAGCTCCAGTGGTTCCATTTAGAGAAACCCGATGGATTTCTCTACTCTCCTAGTCACAGAGCTGGAGACCTGGCCAAACCCCAGGCCCAGGAAATAGGGGGTTGGGGAGAGAGGAAGCAGTTTGATCCAGTAGGGAAAGGAAGTAATTAAAGTATTATCGAGCATCCACCAGGTCGATAGGGAGCTGAGGGAGCTGTTCACATTGTTACCTCCTCTATTCCTTACCACAAGCATTATTATCTCCACATTACATAAAGCTGGGATGGAGGCTCAGAGAATGGTCAGTGTTCTCTCTGGGAGGGAGGAATGCACTCCCTGTCCCCTTCCCTCCCCATTAGATTTTTACTAACCCCTCAAAACTCCAGGAAGTCCTTCTGGGCCCAGAAAGAATCCTTTCTCCCCGAGTTCTCTGCGGGCTATGCTTGTGCCTCACTCCTATCTTTCCTCTGGGCCTTTCCTGCTTACATTCCAAATGTGAGCTACCTATAGGCAAGGACTCTGATTTATTTGTGTCACCAGCAGAGTCTGGTGAATGATACAGCTAAATATATGCTGATTTAAATGGAAGCTCCTAATCCAAGCCCCTCAGTTTCTACAGGGAACAGACCTGGAGAGGGGGCAGGATCCCCTTCTCTCCTGGCTCCTCCTTCTTAGCCCCCTTCTACCCTCTATCTCTAACTCAACTTCACACCTGAATGGTCCACTCCCCTTTGAAGTCCATGTGTTCTAAAATCCATCCATCTCAAAGTGATTTCATCATCCTTCCATCTCCCTAAACCTGCTTTTCTGTAAATTATTTTCTCTAAATGCCACCACCATGTACTCAAACCAAGACATCATGTTGGCACCCTGTCTTCACATGCTCATCTCCCACATCATATCAGCCACCCGGTCTCATGACTTTATATTCTAAATATGCTCTTCTGTCCATCCTCTTGGCCAGTGCTAAAAGAACGAGCCATTGTTTTGGCAACTTGGAAGCTGTGGGTGACCTTGAAAAAACACTTCTTAGAGGAGTAATTAGGGAAAGAAGCCAGGGAATTGAAGAATGGTTAGAGTTGAAGGATGGAACCAACATATCATGACATCTCTTTCAAGAAGTTTACCTCATGATGTCAAATCTCCATGCCATTTCCCATTGATGGGGATGCCTTTCTTACCTTTTTTTTTAAATCCTCACCAGAGGATATTTTCCCATTTATCCTCAGATAGAGTGGGAGGGAGAAAGAAGGAAAGAAAGGAAGAGAGAGAAAAACATCGACGTGAGAGGGACACATCGACTGGTTGCCTCTAGCACAACCCCAACCAGGGCCAGGGACAAACCGCAACCGAGGTACGTGCCCTTGCCTGGAATCGAACCCACGACTTATTGGTCCGCGGGCTGATACTCTACCCTTGAGCCAGACTGGCCAGGGCTCTTATCTTTTTTTTTTTATCCTCACCCGAGGACATTTTTCCATTCTTTTGTTCAGATAGAGTGGGCGGGAGAGAGAGAGAAACATCGACGTGAAAGGGACACATGGAGTAGCTGCCACCCACACGACCAACCAGGGCCGGGAACAAACTGCAACCGAGGTACGCGCCCTTAGCGGGTACCAAACTTGGGTCTCTCTGGACCACAGGCCGACTCTCTAACCGCTGAGCAAAACCGGACAGGGCTTACCTTTTTTTTTATTCAACTACCTAACTTGTCTTTCAGAGTCAACCCAAGTATTACTCTCCCTGAACCTCATGTTCTGTTGGACTCCCATCTGGGCACCTATTGCCCTTAGACTTCCCTCATCACAGCAAAGCACCAGTCACTCGGTAGTGTCATTGCTTGTATCCCTGTGAGTGGGAATCTCTCTCATCAGACTTGTAAACACCACCATCATCACTACCAAGAGCAGGAACTGGGTCTAACCAGGCCTGATTGGGTCTAACCTAACCTGGTAAGTGCCTAATATATTGAATTTATCTCAAGTGAATCAAATACAGGGCCAGACTGGAACATCACCCAACTATAAGTCCAGTTTCAAGTTAGGGACAATGACGAGTCCCAGGGCAATTCAGGAGACTCAAACAAACAAAGCTCAGTCTCAAGTGACTTCCTTCACTGTGCTTCTTCCCCAAGGGTAATCCAATAGGAATTTCTGGTGGGGATGGCCAGGATCTGAGCATCAAACCTAGAAGGGGCTAGAGAGATCTAAGCACTCAGATCCCCAATTTTACTGGTAGGGAAGTGAGGTCCAGAGTGTGCACCTCTGCAGCTGCACAGGGAACCTGTCAGGCCCTGGAGAGAATGGAAAATACCACCTCATGTCCCTTTGGGCCACCTGTTTCTACCCTCCAGACCTGGGAGGCCCAGAGGTAAAGTCATGTGGGTCACCTGGCAACAGGGCAGGGACCACCCTGGAAACCTCAAGAACATATCCAAAGGACTTGATTCCTGGTCCTCTCCCTCTCTGCAGGCCCAGACCCTTTTGTGAGTGGGGGCAGGGGCATGTGACTCAGGAGGTCACATGCAAATAGATTCCTTACCTCAGAAAAGTTGTTGTGTACTTATAAGATTTTAAAGGTTTACAGACTTTTAAATCCTATTTTTAGGAATCTCCACTGTAAACAAACTTGAATGGCAGTTTGGGCATGGGGATGCCTCAGAATGCTGGGCTGGAAGTCCCAGCCCTGCTACTGATGAATTAAGTGACCCTGGTCGAGTCATGACCTCTCAGAGCTTCAGTTTTCTCATCTGTAAATAGGGACAGTCTTTCCTACACTGCCCACTACCAAGCCACAGTGAGAATCCAGAAGAGCCATGCCTAAGCAACTGGGGGTCCTAGTACTTCTGGGCTCGGTGGTTCTTGCACATCAGAATCACCAGGAGAAATCTGTAAACCACAGATTTTCAAGGCCAAACCTTGATATTAGAGCATCCATATGTAGGGATCTGAACATTTGTATTTTTTTAAGTCCTTAAGCAATTCTAATGCACAACCACATTGAGCACCACTGTGCTAGAAAAAGAGCTCACAGTCCACAGGTACTCTATGGCAAGCCCCCATTATGCCCGGGCTGAGCACTGGGGACAGAGAGGATTCATCCCCAAATCCTGCTTTCCAAAAACACTGGGGGGTGGACAGGGAGACAGACAGGGACTAAATTATAATATGCCATAATAGGTGTTTCACTTCTTCCTTCCTCCCTTTATTCATTCACTTGTTTGCTCATTCAGTGAACACTGCCTGAGGCCTACTTGCCAGACCCTTATGCACCAGGAATAAGGAGGGTCAAAATAGACAGTCCCAATGACTAAGTATACCTAGCTGTCTGTATACCTAGCACTGTGCTAGGCTCCATAGGGGCAGAGCTGATCAGACCTGGTCCTTGCCTTAGAGGAAGTTCCAGGTCTTAAGAGAGAACAAAGACAGAAATAAACAGATTTTAAACCAGGCAGAATGAAAACTACTAAGTATTAGTGCAGTGGGCCGTGGGAGGGAGCGACAATGCCTGGGAAGTCCTCCCTGAGGAGGTAGCAGCCTTTGAGGTGGGTCTTAGGATAAGCATGAGCTTTTCAGGTGAATATGGAGACTAAGGGTTTACACAGCAGAAAGAACAGCATGTGCAAAAGCTAGGAGGAGGGAAAAGGTCTGGAGCAGCTAGGACAGAGGGTGCAGCAAAGCAACTGGAGCACAGGGGATGAGAGACCTGGTAGGTGAGGCTGACCCAGGCCAGATCCCAAGACCCTGGAAAGCAGAGTTGTGGTTGGTGCCCCATGGATGATGGGAGCCTTGGGATATTTGTGAGCAGGGAAGGGATGTGACCAGGCCCAGTTTTGAAGGCACATCCTGGTGGCCAGGATGGAGGCAAGGAGAGCTAAGTCAGCACTTACCCAGATTCGCCTCTCAACCTTACAGGGGCTCCACGAGCGGGTCACACACCTGACCTTGGGGCAAACCCGGCGGCTTCTGGGAGGGACGGTGGCTCCAGCTGGGGCCTGCTCAGGCCACAGAAACCCAAGAAGGGGGAGGAAGGTAGGTGTCAGAGGCCCTCTACATCTTTAGAGACCCACAGTTCTTAATAGGTCCTACCATAGCCCTCTGCCAGCTAGACGGGTTGGGGGTGTCTTCCTCCTCGGCTCATGATAAAGGGAGGAGGCTAAGAGGGAGTGGTGATTTTGCTCAAGTTACTCAGAGAAGAAGGATCAGTAGCATCTCTCCAGTTAGCCCACCTTCACCTGTTTCAGGCTGGTGAGGCTCCCCATCTCCAGGGTGGACAAAACTGTTCTGATCTGCCCTCCCAGCCACCTGCCCCCTTCAGTGGCCCCCAGCCTCGGCCCTGGCTGAGCCCTGGCCCTGTGTTCCCTGGAACAGCTGGGGTCAGGGGCTCCTCCTGGAGCCTCCACCAGAGTGGGATATAAGCCTGCAGAATGTGAGAAGACAAAGCACAGGTAACTCCTACATAGGTACAAGACAGACAGAAGCCCACACACACAGGCATGAACACTCAAAGACAGGCACACACTGGTTCAAAGACACAGAGGCACAAACACCCTGCTCGAGCAAGCTCTGGGACCAGAGGGATGTGTGTGTAGAGCAGGGAGGTGGAGTAGAGGGTCAGAGCACAGAGGTGTGGTAGGCAGAGCAGCAGGAAGGCAGATGGGAAGAGAAGGGACAAGGCAGCTTCATAGAGTCACAGAGTGCAGAACGGCCAGCCCTCACCTCTTTCCTTCCGCCTCTCTTTGGTGGGACTGAGTTGCCCTGCATAAGGGGGATTGGGAGTTCAGAACCAGTTTAGCCCAACTGGGTGTCCCTCCACCCTGCTGACCACTGCCCCAGCCTCCTCACTCCTAGCCTCCTCTAATCCAGCCTCCACCCAGAAGCCTCAGTCTGCTCCCCAAAGTCTGACCAGAGCCCTTCCTGCTTAATGACCTTTACTGCTCCCTACTATCCTGAGATGAAGTTCAGTTCCTTTAACTGGACTTCAAGACCCTTTCTGATGTAGCTCCTCAGAGGTCATCTTTCCCATTTTCTCCCTCCATGCATTACACTCCAGCCAGGCCAGACTCCTGGCCCTGATACACAGGTGTGCACACACACACATGCACATGTTACCTCCCTGCCTCTGCTCGGGCAGTTTCCCTCAAAATCTCACACTGACCTTGATTCAATACAGGCTTTTTCACTGACTTAAAACCGTAAGAGTTTGGATAAATCACTCCCCCTCTGAACCTCAGTTTTTCTATCTGTAAATGGGACCAAAACTTCATCTCCTACCAGAGTTGTTGAAAGATGAAATGATATAACCTATGACAGGTGCCCATCACCATGCCCGACCTTCAGCAGGTAGATGCCTCAGGGGGTTTCCCTCTACTTCCCAGCAGACTTTCTCTCAAAGTAGGACTCCACTGCCACAGACAGGAGCAAACATGGAATCTGGAGACAGGCAGATGGGGGTCAAGGCCAAGTTGGGCCACCCTTGAGCTGGGGGCTTTGGGCAGCTCCTCAAACCCACATCTCTATTAGTCATTAAGTTCTGTTGGCTCTACCTCCTAAACATGACTTATCCTCGTCAGCTTGTCTCCACCAGCAAGGCCTTAGTCCAAGCCTCCAGCCAGCCAGCTGGACACTGTCCCAGCCTTCTAACTGGTCTCCAGCATCACTTTTATCCTGTATAATCCATGCCCTACCTACCAGCCAGAGTATCTTTTTAAAAATACATATCTGGCCCTGGCCGGTTTGGCTCAGCGGTTAGACCGTCGGCCTGCGGTCCAGAGAGACCCAGGTTCGGTTCCTGCTAAGGGCACGTACCTTGGTTGCAGTTTGTCCCTGGCCCTGGTTGGGTCGTGTGGGTGGCAACCACTCAATGTGTCCCTTTCACGTCGATGTTTCTTTCTCTTTCTCTCCCTCCCACTCTGTCTGAACAAAAAGTGGAGAAGTGTCCTTGGGTGAGGATAAAAAAATTTTTTTTAAAAAATACATATCTGGACTGACTTGTTCATACCATCCCTCCGCTTAAAGATTTTCAATAACTTCCTGATGCTCTTAGGAGAAATTGACATCCTTACCACAGCCCATAATGCCTGGACCTGCCAACCCTCCTTCCCCACTACCTTCTCACTCCCTGAGCTCCAGCCATCCAGCCTTCCTTTTGTTCTTCAACTTGCCAAAGTCTTAACCCCTCTCAAGGCCTTTGAACATGTAGTTTCCTCTTCCTGGAAAGCTGCTCCATACACCTCACCCCACCCCTTGCATCCAGTATATTTGTTTATCCTTTAGGTCTCATTTTAAGCCTTGTCTGAACTCCCACCTGAATCAGGCCACCAAGGTGGTCACACACTGAATGCACACTGCATGGCTCTGTCAGAGCAGTTACCACCATTGCAATGGGATAAAAAACAGTGTAAGTAGTTATCTCACATCTGGCTTCCCACTAGTCTGAGTCCAGGAGGGCAGGACCCACAACTCCTGAGTCCACCTCTTGCACAGTGCCTGGCATATAGTAGAAAGTTAGTAAATGTTTGTTGTGTGCATTGGTGAAGCTCAGTCTTATCATTTACAGAGGGAATAATGATCCCAACCTCACAGGAGTGTTGTGAGGAATAGTTGGAATTGCACCTGTACCACACCTGGTACATAATAGCTACTCGATAAAACACAGTTCCTTTCCCCCAGCTCACATGCCATCCCCTTCTTGCAGGCTTCTCTCTCCCTCCTCCGAGCACCAGTGGGCTGTCTTCTGTTCTTTTCTACTTGGGTCTTAGGGCATCTGAGTTAGCACAAGTCTATTCACTCACATATATGGGAATTGAGAGCTCCTGGCAAGTGGAGACCGAGTCTGAGCACCCATGATTCCATGGCAGGTAGGGGTGGGGAGGAGAGAGGGTGGGAATGGGGGCTCACCGGGGTGGAATTCGCCTCCAGCAGCGCTGTCTTCCATGCTCTGCAAAGCAAACCACACCAGACCATGAGGGGGCAGTTTGGGGAAAGGGGGACGGGCCCCTACATTTTAAATTTAACTCCCTCACCCAGCCTATAGCCCCAGTCACTTTCAAAGGCAGAAATCTTTTGAGTATAAAAAGGTGACCCCCTCCCCTGTCCCAGTCACATGGAACCTCGTAATTCACTCTTAGTCCATAGTTTTACCCTTTAGCAGGTCCAGTTTCCCCATGTAGACAACAGACAACTGGGCCTGGGGGTGGCTCTCTTAGGGGCCTGGGCCTCTTAGGGTGGCTGGAGCTTAGGGTTCTCTAGCTTCGGTGCCCCTCCACATTCAAAACCTACAAATCGTTCCCCAATGCTCTGACCCCAGAGCCCTGGAAAGGCCCAGTGGACACAGGACAATGGGCTTTTGTTGGTTGCCATGGCACCTGTCTGGGACAAGGCAGCTCTGTGTTTTGTCTACCCAGAGCTCAGCTTCCCCCACTCTCACACACCCCATCTCATTCACTCTCCTACAATGCAAAGGCCAACTGACCCTCTGCCAGAGGGTAGGAAGGGAAAGAATGTGAGTGAGCAGCTGGCTCCTGAGGAAGATATGCCCAGTCTCACAGTGTGGACCTGAGTCTGACATTGGGTGCCCCCATAATGTGGCAGGCTGCCTCTGTGAAGCAGGTCAGGGTCCACCCCTCAGATCACTCCCCCACCAGGACATCTCGGAAGGAGGGTCCTTTGAGGATGCCACAAGGCTCTGTTCCTTTGTATCAACCCTAAGTGAGGGCTCACCTCAGCGGCTGCTAAGGAACTGACTGAGTGATCAGGGACCACACACTCGAAGCAGGTGGGCACACTCCTCCCTCAACAGTCCTGAGTTCATCACAGACCAGGTAAGGAGTTTACTGGGTACCTTACCAATCACCATGAGCCATTGCATCCACTCTTCCAGCCTCCACCAACCCGACTGGTCTCTCTGTCCCCTCTTCCTAACCTCAGGGAACCACAAGGCCCAGTGAGGAGAAGGCATCTGATCACATTCCCCAAGATACCACCCTACCCTCTCCTGAGAGCGACTCACATGGCGTCATCCTGAGTCTCTGCACACAGGTGCAGGCGGAAGCCCTCCCGTAGATTCACAGTCAGCAGGCCATCTCGGCTCCGGCCCTCTGGGGGCTGCACATCTAAAGGCAGACACACAGATAAGGGGTTTCCATGGGGCACAGGCCCCAGGTCCCCCCAGTAAGCCAGGAACAAGAATAGAACTGGCTTCTCTGGGTTGTTTATTAGCCATTGCCAACCTCCTCTGATCCCACACACATTCTTTGGGATTCTGCTCTACTCCTTAGAGTCTTTCAACCCCTTCACATTGCCCACTTCCCTAGTTAGGTACATCTAGCTCTCAGTAACCATTATAATTGTGGCCTGAGTCTTGTTGAGATTTGCTGTGTGACTCTGGGCCACTCTCTTAACTTCTCTGAGCCTCCTTTATTTTCCTTCATCTTTACCCAGTTCCTAGCACCTGGAGGGCAAGACCTGTGTCTGACTCACCTCTGACCCCAGCATAGGGCCCAGGGCCCAGCACAGGGTAGGAACTCAATAAGGACCTGATTTTCTAATTCATACCCACATGAATTGGAGTTGATAGAAGCCTAGAAGCAAAGTCTATAGAAGCCCTCTGAAAGTTGCAGAGAGCCTTCCAATGCAGGAGTTCTCAGACAGACATGATGGGAGGGCCATATCCATAGTCAGTCACAGTGCCAAAGAGGAAAGGGCTTCTCACCGTGGCACTCTTGGCCAATCTTTATGTTGCGAACATTGAAGCGGATAAGTACACGGTCCTCCTCATCCTGCGCAGTCTCATCGTGGTAGTAGCCCAGGGTCCCATCCAGCCACAGAGCGAACCAGTTCCGTTTCCAGCGGCGAAGGATAGAGCCTGTGAGATATTCCAGACCCATCAGGCAGGCTGATTGCAGAGCCTGCTGGGGGGCAGGAGCCCTGGATGGGCTCCCAGAGTCCCCTTCCCCTAGCCCTCCAGAGTTGTAATCACTCTTCCTTGTCTATCTCCTGAAGTGATGTCAGATCCTCTTTCTGTCTTGTTCACCCATTGCCTCCCATTAGGCATAACACACAGTAGGGGCTCCATACGTGTGTGTGTGTGTGTTTTTAATGTAAGATCTGAAACTTTATTTTATTTTTAAATCCTCACCCGAGGATATTTTTCCATTTATCTTCAGATACAGTGGGAGGGAGGGAGAGAGAGATACATCGATGTGAGAGAGACACATCAATTGGTTGCCTCCCCAACCCGGGCCAGAGAATGAATCACAACAAAAGTATGTGCCCTTGACCGGAATCAAACCTGCAACTCTTTGGCCAGTTTGGCTCAGCGGTAGAGCGTTGGCCTGCGGTCCAGAAAGACGCGGGTTCGGTTCCCCCTAAGGGCACCTACCTCGGTTGTAGTTTGTCCCCGGCCCTGGTTGGGTCGTGTGGGTGGCAACCACTCGATGTGTCCCTTTCACGTCGATGTTTCTCTCTCTCTCTCTCTCCCTCCCCACTCTATCTGAACAAAAAATGGAAAAAATGTCCTCGAGTGAGGATTACAAAAAAACAAAAAACTTGCAACTCTTTGGTCCACAGGCCTATCTAAGCTCTAACTGCTGAGCCAAACCGGCCAGGGCCATAAATGTTTTGAAAGGCAAATGAATGACCTTGAGGGCTTCGACACCAAGCCACAGGTCTCTTCAAGGGCAAAGACCTCTCCCTACCCTGAGCCTCCATTTACCTCTTACTTGTGTGATGGTGATTTATGTAGTGTCTGCCTCTTCCACCAGACTGGGGGTCCACAGCTGGGCCTGGGCTTAGTGTTTGTTGAACTGAATGACTGAGAATAGGTCATGGAGGGGGGGTAGGGAGTTCCTAGCCCAGGAGAGCTCTTGTTAAGATCATGACTAGCCCTGGCCGGTTTGGTTCAGCGGTTAGTGTCGGCCTGCGGTCCAGAGAGACCCGGGTTTGGCTCCTGCTAAGGGTATGTACTTCGGTTGCAGTTTGTCCCTGGCCCTGGTTGGGTCGTAAGGGTGGCAGCCACTCGATGTGTCCCTTTCACATCGATGTTTCTCTCTCTCTCTTCCTCTCTCTCCCTGCCACTGTCTGAATAAAAAAAATGGGAAAATGTCCTCAGGTGAGGATAAAAAAAAAAAAAAAGATTATGACTCTGATCATGGGTCTGGGAGCTGAACCCTAGCTTCAAACATTTCACAATTGGAAATCTTAACGGGAACGGCAAAGACATAAGAGAGCTTCTTAGAGCCTTATAGATCCCAAAGCACAGAGGCATTTTTCATTTTGTTCTGAGCCTGGTTACATGGCCAGCCCTGGGCTGGGGTGGTATGGGCACACAGAGGATCAACCCAGCCCCTGTCCTTGAAGAGCTCACAGCCTGGGGCCTGCATGAGATGGGAGGAGGTGAGATCCACAGGTAAAGACAGTTATAGGTCCCAGCTGCTTTGGCTCAGTGGTTGAGCATCAACCCATTGACTGAGATGTCCCAGTTTTATTCCTGGTCAGGGCACATGTGGGGGTTGTGGGCTCAATCCCCAATAGGGGGCATGCAGGAGGCACCAATGTTTCTCTCTCTCCCTTCCTCTCTCTCTAAAAATATCAATTAAAAAATATTTAAAGCCCTGGCCGGTTTGGCTCAGCGGTTAGAGCGTCAGCCTGCGGTTCAGAGAGACTCGGGTTCAGTTCCCGCTAAGGGCACGTACCTCAGTTGCAGTTTGTCCCCGGCCCCGGTTGGGTTGTGTGGGTGGCAACCACTCGATGTGTCCCTTTCATGTCGATGTTTCTTTCTCTCTCTCTCTTCCTCTCTCTCTTTCCCACTCTATCTGAACAAAAAATGAAAAAACATCCTCGGGTGAGAATAAAATACGTGTGTGTGTGTGTGTGTGTGTATACACAGCCCGGTCAGTGTGGCTCAGTGGCTGAGCATCAACCCATGCACCAAGAGGTTGCTGGTTTGATTCCTGGTCTGGGCACATGCCCAGGTTATGGGCCAAATCCCCAGGCATGCAGGAGGTGGTCAATCAATGCTCTCTCTCATCAATGTTTCTATCTCTTTTCCCTCCTCCTTCTATTAAAAACAAAAAAAGACAGTTACAGGAAAATCAATACCATAACAGGAGTATGGATGAGGCATTGGGGATCAGAGAAGGGAGCCTCCAGCAAAGTTTGGTGTTACAGCAGGGGCTGGGGTGGGGGTTAGAGGAAAAGTCAGAGAAGGCTCCTCACAGAAGGAGACATCTGAGCTGGGTCTTAAAGAATACGTAGAAGCCCTGGCCAGTTTGGCTCAGCGGTTAGAGCGTCGGCCTGCGGTCCGGAGAGACCCGGGTTCGGTTCCCGCTAAGGGCATGTACTTCGGTTGCAGTTTGTCCCCGGCCCTGGTTGGTTGTGCGGGTGGCAGCCGCTCGATGTGTCCCTTCACGTCGATGTTTCTCTCTCTCTCCCTTCCTCTCTCTCCCTCCCACTCTATCTGTACAAAAAATGGAAAAATATCCTCAGGTGAGGATAAAAAAAAAAAAAAGAATACGTAGAAGTTTCCCTGGCCGGTTTGGCTCAACCTGGTTGGTTGTGCGGGTGGCAGCCGCTCGATGTGTCCCTTCACGTCGATGTTTCTCTCTCTCTCCCTTCCTCTCTCTCCCTCCCACTCTATCTGTACAAAAAATGGAAAAATATCCTCAGGTGAGGATAAAAAAAAAAAAAGAATACGTAGAAGTTGCCCTGGCCGGTTTGGCTCAGCGGTTGGAGCGTCGACCTGTGGTCCAGAGAGACCTGGGTTCGGTTCCCGCTAGGGGCATGTACCTCGGTTGCAGTTTGTCCCTGGCCCTGGTTGGGTCGTGTGGGTGGCAGCCACTCAATGTGTCCCTTTCACGTCGATGTTTCTCTCTCTCTCTCTTCCTCTCCCTCCCTCCCACTCTATCTGAACAAAAAATAGAAAAAATGTCCTCGGGTGAGGATAAAACAAAACAAACAAACAAAAAAAGAATACGTAGAAGTTTACCAAGCAGTCAGGAATAGGAAGGATGTTCCAGACACAGGGAAAAGCATGGACAAAGGAGGGGAGGATAAAAAGGGCCTGGTTTCTTGGGAGAAGGGTTCACTATGGCAGGCTCATCAAGCCACTTTCCTCACTCCTTCCCCCAGACAAGGTGCAGGAGAGACACGGGCTTGGCCCAGGGTCACTCACTTTGTCTCCACAGCCAGCCGCCCCTCACCAAGGCCATTTCTTCAAAAGGACTTTCCAGAATGGAGTCAGACGGGACCTGTCAGAGGAACCACAGGACACACAGGCCTCATCAGCAGTTCCAGAGCAGCTCTGGGGAGAAAAGCTCCCAGCCCTGTCCTCCCGAGGAACCATTTAAGAGAGTGTAAGTAAACAAACAAGGCAAGCCTGCCTATCTCCTCCCCATGCTCTGCTGCAGGCAAATAATGGCAGCACTGTCTCTAGGGTCAGCAGGGCAGCCACCACTGTGCTGGGGTAGGGGTGGGGTCAGGAGCCTGGATTCCAGACTCAGTTCCATAACCTTGGCCAGATCCCTTATTCCGGGCCTCTCTTTCTAGATATGTAGGAGTGTGTCTGTGAGGCAGGTGGAGGCTGGAGTGAGGAACTCGTAAATGTTAGAAACCCTGGAATTCTGAAATGCTGGCAGCACAGAATATTAGAATCACGGCACTAAATGAGGGACCTTCAAGGTAAGAAAAGCCTCCCTCACATCTGAACCCTTCCTGAGCCTTCTACAAAGTACATATAATAATGGTTCAACAGCAGCTATGATTTACTGAGCACTATGCCAGATACACTTCTTGGTGCTTTTGTCTGCTATCTCATCAAAGCCTCACAACATTCCCTGTTACTCCCACAACACGGGTTTGGAGAGGTCCAGTCACTTGTGCAGATTCACTTGATTAGTAAACAGTGGAGTCAAGATTCACACCCAGCAGTCCCAGCTTCTAACCATTATGCCAGTAGGACCTTTTAAAACTCCTGATCCCTTGGGGGAAAAATGAGGAACATCTGTAATACATTCTACATTCAACAATAAAGATTAAAAAACAAAACAAAACAAAAGCCTCCTGATCCCCAGGTCATACTCAATTAAAAACTGAATCAGAATGTCTGGGGGTGAGAAGCAAGCATTGACAGTCTTTTAAAATCCACAGCTGACTCAATGTGCAGCAAAGTTTGGGGACCACTGCACATACTATACTACCTTACCTTGTCCCCACTGTAACTCTGTTAGATGAGTAGGATATTTACTCCTATTGTACACATACACAATTGAGCGTAGGTACATTGACTTGTCCATGTATGTGGTGGAGCTTGGATTGGAATCTAGGTGCACTCTGCTCCTGTGGGCGACTTACCTGCAAGCAGGTGCCTCTGCCCCTCCCCCACTTGCTGCGTAGCAAGGGCTGACACACCTGGCCTGGAAGGTCTGGCCTTGTCCCTGCTTCCCCTGTAGCTCCCTCTCATCTCCAAGCCCTGACACAGGTAAGACAAGAGGCCAGGTGCAAACTCCCTTTTCAGCCTCCCCCTGATGCACCCACCTGTATACACCTGTTGCAGGATGCTGCTGCCAAAACAGCCGCTATTTGATGCTGCTGCCGCCCAACCCGCTGCGCCTGCGCTTTGTGCACCCCAGAGCTACTGGGGCATTTCATTCCCCAGACTCACTACCCCTGGGCCCCGCCTTCCAGCCCCGCCTTCCAGCCCCGCCTCACCCCCTGGGAGGGGGCGGGGCGTAGAGAGTTGTGTTGCCGTGAGGCCTTCTGGGACTTGTAGTCTGCAGCTCTCGAACCTGGCAGTACACTAGGGCCCCTGGGTGGTAGCCCTGATCTGGCCCTGAGCACAGGGGAGAGGCCGCACCAGCGATTTCATTTTGCTCACTTATTTATCATGAAATACGTTTTCCTAAGAATCTATAACTAATTTTCTAGGAAAAAAAAAAGTAAAACTGCACGGAGAAGCCAGGATCCTAGTTTTGCCATGTTTTCTCAATACTCAGTTTATACCTGGCACTACCCTGGGCACTAATGGAGGGCACAAAGAAGTATCTGACAAGGAACTTCTTTTTTCCTTCCCTAGCTTCCAGTCTGGTTGGGAAGACAACGTGAACACACAATTAGAGCACAAGGTGTGATTTAACAATGGGAAAGAAGAGTCTGATTTTGCCCAAGAGGTTAAGGAAGGCTTCCCAGAGGAGGCCGAAGAGGGTCTTGAAGGATGAATAGGAAATCTAGGAGACTCATAAGCACACTAATCAAGGAAGTTCAAAAGAGTGCCTGGCCCCCGGAGCGGCTCAGTTGGTTGGGCGCCATCCCGAGCACTGCAAGGTTGCCAGTTCAATTTCTGGTCGGGGCACATACCTGGGTTGTGGGTTCGATCCCCAGTCGGGGCATGTAGGGAAGGCAACCAATCAATGTTTCTCTCTCTCTCTCTCTTCCTCTCTCTAAGCATGACCTCGAGTGAGGATTAAAAAACAAGAAAAAATAAAGTGTCCATGTGTTTGGAAAGTAGAGTGCAGGGGTGGGGAGGGCTTGTGGAGTGTGAGGTGATGAAACGGCAGGGGTTGCAAGGAAATGAAGGCATTGGATGATAGGCTCAAGAGCTTGGACGTCACAACAATGACTGGAGCTTGGGGTTGGGAATTTCAAGATGAGTTAGGTGGTCGCATTTGTGGATTGGAAAGGTTCCTCTAGGACAGTCAAAAATGGATTGATGGGGACCAAACTGGAAAAAGAAGACTGTTTCTGTATCTACAACACAGTCTGTCCTTCCAGGATCATTTCCTTGAATAGCTCAGCCACAAACCCCCACCTACAAGCAAAACCAGGATGTCGTTCAGAGAACAGGGCCTGTCAGGGCTTGCAAGGCTCCCAGTCTGATCCCCTATTTAAAAAGGGCACCCACCCTGCCATAGGCCCTTCCTCCTACCCCCAGAGACGTCTTCCTTACCGGGGCTGCAGGGCTCATGGTTCCTGGGCTGCCAGGGCAGCATTTCCCAGAAGGTTCCTGCGGGGGGGCATTTTCCTGAGCGCCTTAAAGTTAAGGGGATCAGGAAGGTGCTACCAAGTGGGAGCTAGAAGGGGGAGGTGATGAATGGGGGCACACAGATCCTAGAGAAAGTCATCTCTCTTCAGTCCCTTCCCCAATCTCCCCGACTGATCTGGGCCTCAGACCTTCAGTTCAATGGATAACAAACAAGTCATCCAAGATTCGGAGGAGATCTCTCAGCCTAGAGTCGCTGTAATTCCCCTGTGAGGGGGCGGAACCGGTTCTCTGCCCTCGGTTGGGGGCGGGGCTAAATTTTATTTCTCCAGCCGGGCAGGACAGTGCCTTTACCGGTCTTGGTTGCACAGCCTGGCCCTTTAAGCATCCTTCTCTCACTCCTGGGTTTCTGTAATCCTGACCTCAAGCCACCCTGGCGCTTCGGCCCTTCGTGCAGTGCGTGCCTTGCTGGAGGATTCATCATGGCCGATCCTATTAGCCACTGAGTTCATCCCCTCCGTGCATCCCCAGTTACCAGCTCTTCCAAACCATGCTGTTCTCCATGTTGTGCCTTTCAGTCCCTGGAACCTCCTATCTTCTCCAAGCTAAATTTCCACCCCCACAGCAGAAGGACGGAAGAAAGGAGGGAGGAGGGAGGGGAGGGTGGAGCTGGCCTCAGGGAATCTGGATCCAGACCCCCACCCCAGCTCTCCCAGCTCTCCTCCGTGAAGGGCTATTTGGCCCCTAGATAGAGGAGTGAGGTGAGGAACCGTGCAGACAGCTCTAGATTACATTCTCTGGATTTAGCAACCAGATGAAAAGGAAAGATTCTCCAGCAGCAGTGTGGAATTCAAGGGGAAGACCACAATCATCCTCCCAAAGAGGGGGCACTATGACAGAACAGGGGGTAAGGAAAGGGGGAGGATGCTTTGCAAACTAAAACTCTAGATACAGTTACAGAATCTCTAGGGTCAATGACCCTCTTTGAGATGCTAATAAAGGGTGTAGACTCTGCCCAGGAAAAAAATACACACAGATCACATTTTGCATATAATTCCTGGGAGTTCATAGACTCCTGATAATTCCTGGGAGTTCATTGACTCCTGAAGTCTGATGATTACTCTTGAGGTTGTTTTTAATTTCCAAAGCCAAGTAGACTGGTGGAAAGAGTGTGACTGACAAGTGAGAAGCTCTGAGAGCATAGCAGAAATCCCGGCTCCAGCAGTCCTGGCTTTAAGAGACTCTCCATTTACTTTTTTTTTTTTTTTTATCCTCACCCGAGGACATTTTTGCATTTTTTGTTCAGACAGAGCGGGAGGGAGAGAGAGGAAGAGAGAGAGAGAGAAACATCGATGTGAAGGGACACATCGAGTGGTTGCCACCCGCACGACCAACCGGGGCCGGGGACAAACTGCAACCGAGGTACGTGCCCTTAGCGGGAACCGAACCCGGGTCTCTCCGGACCGCAGGCCGACGCTCTAACCGCTGAGCCAAACCGCCCAGGGCTCCATTTACTTTTTTTTTTATCCTCACCCAAGGACATTTTTTTAGTTTTTGTTCAGATAGAGTGGGAGAGCCCTGGCCGGTTTGGCTCAGCGGTTAGAGTGTTGGCCTGTGGTCCAGGGAGACCCGGGTTCATTTTCCACTAAGGGCATGTACTTCAGCTGTAGTATGTCCCTGGCCCTGGTTGGGCCCTCCAGGAGGCAGCCCTCCATGTATCCCTTTCACATCGATGTTTTTTTCCTCCATGTGTCCCTTTCACATTGATGTTTTTTTCTCTCTTTCTCTTCCTCTCTCTTCCTCTCTCTCTCTGTTTGTTTGTTTTATCCTCACCTGAGGACATTTTTCCATTTTTTGTTCAGGTAGATTCATCGACATGAAAGGGACACATCGAGTGGCTGCCACCCGCACGACCAACCAGGGCCGGGGACAAACTTCAACTGAGGTACGCGCCCTTAGCAGGAACCGAACCCAGGTCTCTCTGGACCGCAGGCCGTTGCTCTAACCAGCCAGGGCTCTCCATTTATTTATTTATTTACTTTTTGGTACATGCCCTTAGCGGGAACCAAACCTGGGACTCTCTGGTCCGTAGGCTGATGCTCTAACCTCTGAGCCAAACCAGCCAGGGCAAGAGACACTCCATTTAAATCAACTAAAATTTATTAAGACCGACAAGCCAACAGTAACTTTTATGTTTCTCTTGTAACTGTGGTACATAGAATTATTGACAGGAAAAAAAGAATTTTGCTATTTCAAATGTTTGTGGTAGGTGAACAGCTCACAGATGATATATTATTTAGAGAATAGTAGAAAGGTTTATCAAATTAAAATTCACTAATATTTTCTAGAAAATATATAATGAGAATAATTAATGCTATCTCTTTTTGCTAAAAAAAATTCTGCAATTTGAGCAAAAGGAAAACCACATACGGAAAAGTTCTTTTGTTTTTTTGTTGTTGTTGTTTTTTTATCCTCACCCGAGGACATTTTTCCATTTTTTGTTCAGATAGAGTGGGAGGGAGAGAGAGAGAGAAAAACATCGACGTGAAAGGGACACATCGAGTGGCTGCCACCCGCACGACCAACCAGGGCCGGGGACAAACTGCAACCGAAGTACATGCCCTTAGCGGGAACCGAACCCGGGCCTCTCCGGACCGCAGGTGGACGCTCTAACCGCTGAGCCAAACCAGCCAGGGCGAAACTCTGTACCTTTTCACGGCCACTCTTTCCTTGTAGCAATCCTCTTTCCTTCCAGCCCCTGGCAACTACACACCTATGTATGGATCTGCCTATTCTGAACATTTCATATAAGTGAAATCATACACATGTGGCCTTTTGCAACTAATTTCTTTCACTTAACATATTTTCAAGATTCATCTATGCTGTAGCATGTATCAACACTTCATCCTTTTTTATTGATGAATACTGTTCCATTGTATAAATATACCATGTTTTATTTATTCATTAGTTAATGGACATTTTAACTACTCATTAGCTATTATGAATAATGCCACTATAAACATTTGTGTACAAATTTTTGTGTGGACGTATGTTTTTCTCTTGGTTGTGACATTTTTGAGTCATCGGTAACTGTATGTTTAACATTCTGAGAAACCATCAGACTATTTTCTAAAGAGGTTATATCATTTTACATTCCACTAGCAGCTTATGAGAGTTCCAATTTTTCCACAATCCTTGTTATTGTCTTCTTTATTATAACCCTCTTTGTAGGTGAAAATGATCTCACTGAAGTTATTATTATTTTTTATTCTGTTTGACCCCCTCCTCCCCACTCCTGGCCCCCTCCTGCCTTTTCCCATACTGTTGTCTGTGTCCATTGGTTATGCATATAAGTTCTTTGGTTTATTTCTTCCTACCCCTCAACCCCCTTCTCTTTGAGGTTTGTCAGTCTAGCAATCAATTTATTCTTCTTAATCCCTTCACCTTTTTCACCTATTTCCCCAACCCCCCTCCCATCTGGCAACCAACAAAATGTTCTCTGTATCTATGAGAATGTTTCTGTTCTGCCTGTTCATTTTGCTTGTAGATACCATTGTCGACAGATATGTATTCATTGCCATTTTGTTTGTTCATATATTTTATCTTTTTCTTCAAAAAGACCCTTCAACATTTCATATAATAACAGTTTGGTGGTGATGGACTCCTTTAACGTTTTCTTGTCTGGGAAACTCTTGATATGGCCATCGATTCTAAATGACAGCTTTGCAGGATAGAGTAATCTTGGTTGTAGGTTCTTGCTTTTCATCACTCTGAATATTTCTTGCCACTCCATTCTAGCCTGCAGTTTCTTTTGAGAAATCAGCTGACAGTCTTATGGGAAGTCCCTTGTAAGTAACTAACTGCTTTTCTCTTGCTGCTTTTAAGATTCTCTCTTTGTCTTGAACCTTTTGCATTTTGATGATGATGTGTCTTGGTGTGGGCCTCTTGGGGTTCATCTTGTTTGGGACTCTCTGTGCTTCCTGGACTTGTCTGTCTGTTTCCCTCACCAAGTTAGGGGAGTTTTCTGCCATTACTGTTTCAAACAGGTTTTCAATTTCTTGTTCTCTCTCTTCTCCATCTGGCACCCCCAAGATGCGAATGTTGGCACGCTTGAAGTTGTCCCAGAGGCTCGTTACACTCTCATTTTTAGGGGATTTTTTTTTTTTTTTTTTTTTTTTTTGCTATTCTGATTGGGTGTTTTTTGCTTTTTTATATTCCAAATCGATGGTTTGCTTCTTGGCTTTACCTACTCTACTATTGAATCTGTAAATTATTCTTTATTTCGGTTAGTGCCTCCTTCATTTCTGACTATGCATCCTTCATTTCTGACTGGTCCTTTTTTATGCTCTTGAGGCCCTCACTAAGTTCGCTGAGGCCCTCACTAAGTTCGCTGAGGTTCTCACTAAGTTCATTGAGCATCCTTATAAGCAGTATTTTGAACTCAGCATCTGTTAGGTTGCTTATCTCCATTTCACTTAGTTCTTTTCTTGGGGTTTTGTTCTGTTCTTTCATTTGGGACCTGTTTCTTTGTCTCCTCATTTTGGCTGCCTCCCTGTGTTTGTTTCTATGTATTGCTTAATAAGAGGTATGGGGCTAGCTGAGATCAGGTGCTGCTTGTTTGAAAGAATTTGGGAACACCTGAAGCAGGATCCAAGACAGGCCAATCCTATGGTGAAGCAACTGGCAACAGCTTGGGTGGGCCTGAAAGTTGGGTGGGGCGGAGCCTCATGGAATCACCAGAGAAAGCCCTCTCTCTAATGCCAAACAGCTCAGTTCTTCCCTTTATGTCTCTGTCAATCCCTCAGGTTGCCTCCCCTCCAAGCTTAGAGGGAGTGAGTTCGATAAGTCCGTGTGTGGGCCCTTTAAGAGGAGCTGCCTGGGGCTCCAGCCGCCTCAGCCTCCCTGAGCCTCAGTCCCCGCTGGTTTTTCCAGCCAGAAGTTATGGGGACTTCTCTTCCTGGCACTGGAACCCTGAGCAGGGCACCTGGTGTGGGACAGGGACCCCCTCAGTCCTCAGAGAGGACCTTCCCAGACGAGGTATCCTCCTGATTTTTATCTGCCACACATGGGTGTGGGACCAGCCCGTACACCTTTGACCCTCCTACCAGTCTCGATGCAGTTGCTTCTTTAATTCCATAGTTGTAGAATTTCCATTCAGCTGAATTTCAGGTGGTTTTAAATGATGGTCGTTCTGTAGTTTAGTTGTAACTTTGATGTGGTTGTGGGAGGACGCGATACCGCATTTACCTATGCCGCCATCTTGACTGGAAGAAGTCTCATTCAAGTTTTGAATTTTAATTTCCTTAATGACCAATGATGTTGAGCATCTTTTCATGTGTTTATTATACATGTGTATATCTTCTTTGGAGAAATGTTTATCTAATCTTTTTCCTATTTTTTGTTCGATTATTTATTTATTTTTTTCTTTATTGATTTTTAGAAAGAGAGGAAGGGAATGAGAGTGAGAGACAGAAACATCAATGAGAGAGAACATCAATTGGCTGCCTCCTGCAACCTCTTGGTGCATGGGTCGATGCTCAGCCATTGAGCCACATCAGCTGGGCAGATTATTTATTTATTATCCTCACCCGAGGACATTTTTCCATTTTTTTGTTCAGATAGAGTGGAAGGGAGAGAGAGAGAAACATCGAAGTGAAAGGGACACATCGAGTGGCTGCCACCCACACAACCCAACCAGGGCCAGGGACAAACTGCATCCGAGGTATGTGCCCTTAGCGGGAACCGAACCCGGGTTTCTCTGGACCGCAGTTCGACACTCTAACCACTGAGCCAAACCCGCCAGGGCCAGATTATTTATTTTTTGATATTGAGTTTTAAAAAGGTTTTTAAACTAAAATATGTAGATAATTTTTAAATAATTTTGAAGAAAAAAATAAATGAAATTGTGCAAGGTCCTTGCAGTGTTTCAGGAGTTTGAGTAGAAGGGTTATGTGGCGGCTCAGTGAAGTCAGAAGGTTAACATACTTACATGTCCTGGATGGGAGTGTCCAGAAAAAAACCAACCCATTAGGGAGGATAAGGACTACAATTTCTTGGTGGAAAGCCATCTCAGAGGGGTGCATCAGGCTTCCCAGAGCAGAAGTTAGTTTTACGTGTCAACCTGGCTGTGCTATAGTAACTAGTTATTCAATCAAAGGCTAATTGAGGTGTTGCTGTGAAAGTATTTTGTAGATGTGGTTAAGCTGTACAATCAGTTGATTTTAAGTAAAGGAGATTAACCTTGATAATCATTCAATCAGTTGAAGGGTCTTAAGAGCAAAACTGAGATTTCTCTGAGGAAGATTATATAGTGTGTAGACTGTAGTCTCAGTCCCTGCCTGAGAGTTTCCAGCCTGCTGGCCTACCCTACAGATTTCGGACTTGCCGGCCCCCACAACTGCATAAGCCAACTCCTTTAGATAAATCTCTTTGTGTGTGTATGTGTATGTGTGTGATTCCGTCTCCCTGGAGAGCACTGACTAACACAGGGAAGAAGAAGACGTCTCCTTGTCATGAACTCCTCGTTTGAATTTATTGGAAGCACCAGATTTGGAAATGAAAGAGGAAAACCTGGCAACCAAGGGGAGGGGCTAAGGAGAGGGGTATTGAGACAGAAGAAGAAATAGTACCCCATGCCCAGAGATAGGGGGTGCAAATGCTTCCTGAAAAATGCTCCATCTGTATCATCAGATGTATGAGGATTTATTTCTAGAAGCTCAAGTTTCCATTGTTCTTTACCTATGTCTGCAATCTCTTGTCTTAAAACCAAGAGGTGTCTTTCATTCTCCTGTGCTCTGGTTCAATGATCATGACCTTTAGTTTAAGAGAAATAGTATGGTTTTGCCAGGTCAATGTGGCTCAGTGGTTGAGCGTTGACCCATGTACCAATTGGTTCCCTGTTCAATTCCCAG